TTACAGATTTGAACACATACGCACAAAAACATCAAAATTAGCACAGAAACAGTACTATATAACATTTTGGACACATTCTAGACAGTTTATCAGCTAAAAGAGTTAATTTTGGGGTAAGTTACTCTTTAAGAAAAGGAGGAAAGTAAGGTGTTAGCGTTCCTATACTTTTATCTTAAATAATGTGGTTTAACCAGAAGGGTGAAGCGTTCTACTCGGCGTCAGCCAGACAGAGAGGTTCATAACAGCCAGCTTTTACCTTAAAGATGGTGTTCTGTCACCTGCCAGGTATTTCAGGGTGCTGCTTTGAAAATCCGCTCAGGACTGTCAACCAGGGGGACTCCAAGGTGTGTTTTTGTCTCGCTTGCATCCGCGTCAAGCCGTAGAAAGAAGGCGACCCCAAATTGGAAACCGAGGYTTCAAAATAAAACTTCTGTCTGGATAGTTTCTGTAGTGGATAAACCAGGCGTTGGTCATCCAGACTGTGAGGTTTCCTCTTTGGTGATGAAGAGGTAAACCTGTCACAGCTTAGCTTTTGACTCCCAGAGAGTCTAGCTGTCAAAAGTGACTGACGGCAGTCCATCACTTACTGGCGTCCGGGCGGAAACTGTTAGTACTAAAGAAGCTTAGAGAATCTAAGTTTCGCCATCCGGAAGGTTAGATTAATAAAAGAGTTATCAAGGAAAATGTTAAATTCAKAWCTTGCTGTTGCCTCCTSAAACTAACACAAAGATTATTGCTGCTGTGTGGTTCAGAACAAAAACATTTCATGACCCATTTAATTATCTTGAAGGAATTTAGAAATTAGACACTGATGATAAACGCACCACACCAAATTCTTAGTGGTCTTTTTAGTTTATTAACTTTTATTCATTGTTTAACTATTGTTAACTTCTGATTAAAATAGTTTAGGTGCTTGCCMAAAAACATCAGCAACACATCGAAAAACCGTGATTAATCCAGTAGGAAAGGCAATGYTTGTTTGAGTGGCCTGCGATGCAGCCGTAGGTCTGCAGGGGTCGCACCAGGCACCGAAGACTGTACAAAAGAGACTGGATGTCTGGTTCCCAGTCAGCGTTGCTTCAGTCGCTTGGGCTCAAGCAATAAACAGCTCCGCTCATACTAGAACTGGTTGTATGGTGTCCATTCTCTTCACATTTTAATCGACTAGATACAATTGAGGTTTTGTCACGTTTCATCTAACGAACACGAAATATTTCTTACAATCTGATGAGCACTTATTTAAAAACATAACTGAAACAAAAAAGGAATTGCTTCATGTTCAAAACATTTGCAAATATGATTCCGACAAGTAAAACATTGATATTTCATCAACTTTAAACCATAACGATTATTTTAGTTAAATAAGATTTTTCCCACAAAATCCATACATAGCTGAAATCATACTGAGGGAGAAAAGAGATATGTCCTCTGTCCTCCTGTAACTTTGATAAGCATTCTCTGATTATCAAAATGCGTAATATTTTCAGTTAAGAGAACAATAAATCAAATAAGAGAAGATTCTTNTTTTCCATCGGACTTAAACAGTGCTCAGGCCTCAAAGTCACTGTGACCGTGTAATCCTATCCGGGTGAACTAACAAAGATGACAAAGCTGAACAGCTTCTCTCAACCTGCTACCTAACCGCAGCTAACAGGATGACAAAGGACGTCTCCCTGCCGATCCTTCAATTTAACCACGGTGGTGCGGTTAACCACACTTAACCAGAGATGCGCATCTCAACACTTATACTTCAAAGTACGTACTTTTACACATAACCACCAGAGACCACACACTTTATCTCTGTGGCGGGAAACACTGTCAAAAAAAATAACTAATAAAACAGCTTAGCTTAGCAAGGGTTGAACACACTAAGAACAAAACAAAACAAAGCCAGATCTCCAGTGGTAAAAACTTCACAGGAAGTGAGAGGTAGAGAAAAATGTAAACCAGATGTCTGTACCACAGCAAAGCTACCCCCACCACGCTATAAATCAGTTTGGACAAGACAAAGAACTGTCTTGAACCACACCCCACTTTTAAATCTTGAACGACCTTCGTTCAAATTTCCACTAAATCAAGCTTTACACACAAACAAACAACTAACAACAATAAACAGACAACATAAAATTTAAGAAACAAACTAGATTCCTTTTCTCTATTTTTTTTCCTTTCTCTATGTTTTTTCTCCTTCAAAAACTAGCCAGACACATTTAAACTTCTATTTCACTACTGAGAGACGTCTTTATTCTCACTTTACACTGCTTTACATCCTGTAGCTGCACTTCTAATCCTCAAATTTAATATTCTCTACACAAATGTGGCATTTTTCGCCCTCCATAAGAACTCTACTTCACCTCAGCATAAAACACTGTTTATCTCTCGTAAAAATTGAATCTGACGAAATTACATGCTTTTACCAGTCCCGGAGCAGAAAACACCACAGCTTGACTATTTAAAACATAAAAGGAACAGTTTTATCGTACTTTAAGCTGGTTTACGACACCTCGTGTCACGACAAAGCACTCTTTCACTGCGCCCAGAGCATGTGCAGCCCTGCCCCCCTTTCTCTACAGCTGCAACTCTTTGTTCTCCACGGAGCTACTTAATTCGACAAGAAACGCTAGTTTTTAACCCCAATAAAAACACAAATACACAAAAACAGAAACGCTAGCATGACAGAGAAATTCGATTCTAGAAACGAAAAAGACACAGAAACCCTCTGAACTCTACACACATATGATCCACGCTCTCGACACAGGCTCACAGCTGCATTTAACAAAGATAAAATGCAAAACAGACCGAATCTCGTGACGCCATTCTGTTGTGTCTCTGCCTGGTTCGTTTCTGCTCGGTTCGGCTGGGCTTTGTCAGCTGCTGGATTCTTCATCTGCTGTCGGTCGCTGCTGCTTCGGAGCTGGGTTGCTGGCGGTGGCTCGCTTCTTCGGCTGGGGCGGCTGGTTCTGCTGTCGGTGGCTCGCTGCTACTCCTGAAGACTTGTTGACGGTTAAAAAACTCTAGGCTAACATTTTAATAAAGAAAAGAGACGCTAATCTTCAGTTCTGGACATGTTTATTCATGAGAGACACCTAAGCGCTTCCACCCAGCTAGATGTTACGGAGAACTCCCTGCCCCCAAGACCAGCGTGAGCGTGCCTGGGCTCGTTCACGTATTAAAGGGCCAGTACACACCTGAAAATTCACCACATACCCCCCTTCGATTCTTCTAGAA